CAAATCATGAACATATCCTGGTCATATGAAAAGTTGCATGTTATTTTGGATCAAAAAGTTATAAGAAATGATAATTTCCGCTTTGCTTAAAAACACTTTTGTTAATTGAGTAGAAACATGTGATGTCAACTAAACCTTGCATTCATGTTCAAACAACTCTAATTTAACTCTTGAACAAAAGTTAGTTAGGGTTTATATTTGGAAAATGTAAAAAAAAATAGCTAAAACTCTAGTTTAAACCTTTTCATGTTGCTGCTTTGGTCAATATAGAACTTTGGTTTCTGTTCCAGTTTTGAGGTTTGGCCTTTAATAAAAGTTGTAGTTTAGTTTGTGTACATCGAACTTTGTTTTTGGACCCAAGCCTAAATCAGCCTCTAACCTGATAAAATAGTGACCACAAGTTTGAATGCAGTGTTGTTTTAGCTTTCCAAAAAAATTTCTAAGTCCCTGAAAACAGAATTAAAGTTCAATGTTTGGTGAATTATAAAATAGTTTTTCATAAATAAAATTTGTGAAACTTGGGTACCATTTCATGATATGAAGTTTGTACTATGATAATGTTCCTTTGGTTGTGATGTTTGAAAGTGGTTTGATCACTAATTAATTACCTAAACATAGTTAATCAAAGTTGTTTTTCAAAATCTTGAAACTGAATTTAGTTTTCAGTTTCAAGTATCCTTCTTCAAAATTCAAAATCTCTCAATCTATTGATCTTTTTATGTTGGTTCTTAAAGCAAAGATGAATATCAGAGATGTATTAGCCGCTTTGGTTATTGGAGCTTGATAAGTTTCTACATGAAATCGGGGGAAAACGAGAGAAGAAGATGGGCGGTCAGCATGAACAGTGTCGCCGGGGAGAGCTGCTTGCCTACGCCATCGCCGTCCACCGTGCTTCTTCGCGGCGCTTCTCACGCGTGGACGCGCGGCCGTCCGCATGGCCATGCTTGAGAAGGCATTGGCGAAGCTGGTGACATCGCCCTCGCCTTTAAAAGCCGACACCGGCCGCCGTCTTCTCCTTTTCCCTCTCTGCTCCGCTCAGCCGAGCAGAGCTGCAGCAGCCCTGCTCGCTCCACTCCTCCAGCTCCCTCCTCTGCGCCTTCTCGTCTTAACCGGCTCCTCCTGTGTCCCTCCCTCTCTCTCCCGCGCCTAGCGTGCTGCTCCATCGGCCGCCGCCATCGCCGGAGCTCAGTCTACAGTAGCCGCTGCCATTGCATGCCTCTGGCATGCATGGCTAGGACGCCTCGGGCCACCGTACGACAAGCCGCGGTCTCCAACAAGTGCGTGCGAGCCCTCCTGATGCTCCGACACCGAAGCTCGCCGCCGGTGACCACCCTAGCCGGCCAGAATCAGCCTCCTTCCCGACGCTGCTCTGCTCTATTCGCGACCAAGGACTTCGTGTCCAAATAGAAGCTTTTCTAGGGTTCCCAATGTAAATATCATGACTCACATGAATAGTACTGCTAGACTGCGGGTTGATTTGTGAAAAACTCAGGGGCCTTAGCATAAAGCATCTGTCTTATATGGTTTCTCTTTTTCTTTTTCAATAATCTAGCTGAAGCTTTGAAAATTCATAGTAAATCATAGAAAAATAAAATAAAAATAGAAAATGGAGATGTTCTAGAATCCTCATGACAGATCTATGTAGTGGATGTATAATCTTGTATGTGTTAGTGGAAAAAAAATCTTGCTCTAGATTTTTGCCTATGCTTTTTAGGGAGAAATTCATATCTACTGTTGTATTGCTCCAATTGACGTGAAATTTTTATGGTAGGCTTCTTATGTGATGCTTAATGTGTAGTAAAAATGTCAACTTTATTGGAGTATGTGTGAGTGAGTTTTTGATTTACCTAAGTCAATGCTTGTTTTATGTGCAATTTCGGTTGAGGAACTGTTTTCATAGTGAAAATTATCTTTTCTGTGTTTGAAAGTTGTAGGTAACTTGCTGATATTGGTTGTCCTAAAATTTCATGATTTTAGGCTTGCTGGTTTAGGAATTATAGATTTTACAAGTTCCCTTTTGGTTATGTGTTGTACAGATCTGCAATGTCATGCTTTTTGACTATGATAGCTGTATAATCACCTCTTGAAGAAAATAAAAGAGTTGTAGTTCTTTTAATAAGATTTCCAGAAAGTTAAGAAGCACGATTGTTAGATTTCTATAACTCCAAAATATAGCTGTCCAAATTTAAATGTCAAAATCTGTCAAAATCTGGACATAAATCGTTCTTTGTAATGTTTGGCATAGTTAACTGTGTAATCAACTCTGGATTATAATAACAAAATTGTAGGTAATTTCTTAAGCTTTCCAAAAAGTCTAAGATCATCCTTGTTGGATATCTAAAACTCCAGTTATGATCAAAACAAGTGACTGTTGTGCTGCAGTCCAGAACTTGCTTTGCTTAAGTTGATTGCTTTAACTTGATGGTTGATATGGTTGCTAGTGTGACTCATGCCAATGAGTTAATCTACCTGAAACCAGTTTGCTAGATGTAAGGTAAGAATTCATCTTCTCTACCGGAGAAGTGATATGCACCTACTCGGTAAAAACCATTAAAAGTTGATCACCATCTTGCCACTTCTGTGTTGTGAGTTTAGTAGTAGAACCTTGATCATGATTGATATGGCTAGGTTTGGTGTTGCACACATCAGCCCTAGTGCTCTGGTATGATGCTAAGCTTAATTAGTTCTCGGTAGATAAATATTATGGTGTTGTCTTATTGCTATCTTAGCATAACATGATTGTGTGATGTTTAGTTGGCACTTTATTCATCCATGTGCCTAGGTCAATTTTGTTACGACCTTATACTTGTCCTTGTTTGCAATCGCGTGATGTTTTAGTTTTGCTCTTTCTCATATGCATGCATTGCATCTTTGCATATATTATATAGGTACGCTAGATGTATGACGAAAGGGCGAAGAACGTGATGCTGAAACCAACCAAAAGGCGATGTTGGTGAACGAATCCAGAAGATGGGAGGACCCTGGGAATACATGTCGGGCAAGAGATGCTCGCCAAGCGAATATCATCTAACAAACACTGACCTAGTGTTGAACCCCATGCAAGCCTCGGAGCATTCTAAGCCTCCTACCTCTCTTTTAAAATACACTTGAGTTTATATTTTGTATTGTGCATTAAGTATAGGAGTTGAATTGAAACCTGTTGCTGCATGTCTTACCTTGTCTACAATATATATACATGTATCCTTACTAGTATGTATAGGTCGCTCTATGTTTAGCTATGGTTAGACCGGTAGAAGTTGGGTGATTCCTGTCGCCTGCGAGACATAGGTGGCTACTCTGACACGGTTGGCTATATTTGCTATCGTGGAAAAGAACCAGGTGATAATGGATAATTGGAGACCGGACGAGATCTGGTGCTATTATGGTTGTTGTTGATGCCGGCTAGGCATGTATTCTTTGATCCCATCTGTGTCATTTAAGGACCGCTTCGTTGTCGGACCTTGGTTGAGATTGAAGGTACCAAACACATAATAGGGGCCTGAGTTATAGTTGACCGTGAAGTCGATTAGCTCATTCAGGCTGAGTATATTGGACCACTAGCATTGCTAGGAGGAGAGCCTGAAGGAAGGGGACTGGTCCAAGACCATGTTTACTACGGGCTTCGGGCAATTCATGTGAGGATGCAAGATCATGAGTTTTTGCGAAATGGTCTAGACTCACCGTCGAATGGAGTGAACGGTGACCCACATGAGCTAATGTGGGCTCGTACGGGTGTGTGTTTGGGATTGCCCAACTGGATGTAATCGATTCGAATCGCCGTCTCTCTCAATTAGTGAGAAACTTGGTCATTGTCTGACAGTCGTAGTAACTGATGAAACATGATGGTTCTGTTGATCATGATAATTGAATATGGTTACTACTGTGATACTTATTAATCAAATGATCATTACAGGACAGATGCAAACTTAGCTATAACTGGCTTCACTAAACTTGATGCTAAAATATTGAAAGTAAGGACTTACGTAGTAAGCTATTTTGCAAAAGATTATGCTATCCAACTAGCTCCACCAAATAAACCATGCATATCTTTGGAGTCTTCATTTTTCTCCTGTCGGGTAAGTCTTGTTGAGTACAACTGAGTACTCAGGGTTTATCCCACTGTGTTGTAGGTGAAGTGCTATGTTTGCTGAAGGTGATGACTAAGTGCCGGTAGACTCGGCTATTCTATATTTACTTCTCATCTATGCTTTTGTTGGAGGGTGTCATCAGAGCTAGCAATATGATTCAAAATTATAATTTGGTAATCATTATAAAGTTATGTTGTTTTAACCTAATGGATTTGAAACTGAACTTGTATTAATTACTTGTGACCCTATTGTAATATTATTTCCGCTGCAAACTCTGTGTATGTGATATGTATTTGCTTAATCAAGTACGATCTTGACGGTATGTGCGTGTCAATGTGTTTAACGGGGACGGTCATACTTAATCTTGTATAAATTGAACGGTTCTGTCACACAACCAACCCTGAAAATGCATCCAGTGGTGGTTAGCTTAAGGGGACCACCCTGAAAGTGCATTTCCATGGATGGCTGGTTTACTCCAACCGTATTTTCAGGGATGGTTGTAAGCCCATCTCTAAAAAGGTCATTTACAATTGATAGTGTAATATCAGTTTAGAGAACCACGCGTAAAAACCGGTAACTGGTTTTGACAAAGTGAGGTTTGGAACTGCGCCTAACTGGTACTCAAGGCCAGTTCTCTAGTGGTGCTCCTAGTTTTCGAATAGGAATGCTTGCTATGAGTTGAGATATTTTAGAGAACGCGTCAATATATACCAACGGTGAAATCGTGCATGATATCTTTTCCATATTCTTAGATCTCTATGAAAAAAGACAGGAAAAATCAATTGGGAATTCGTAACTAGAAGCACTAGCTAGCTATGTATATATATACCTCTTGTCTGTGAGAAGCTGCTCAAGTTTTCTGGCTAGCCCATTGTCTTCCAAATCGTCGATTGCATCCAGGCCAACCTCTTCCTAATCCTTGATGCCTCTATCGTTAGCTGTTTTGGGCTTCACGACCTGCTGCAGAAGGTCCTTGAGCAGCACCTTGAGGTCCCTGCTCGGCTCGAATGGCTGAGACACGGAAACCATCGCCTGCCACGGGAACTCCGCTTCCAGCCGCCGGCGCACCTCGACGGCCAGGGTCGTTTTGCCGAGGCCTCCGAACCCCACGATGGAGAAAACGGCCATGCGCTCGACTGCCTCTTGGCCAACCGGCGGCTGAACCTTCAGCGGCGCAGCCAGGGCGTTAGCCTGGTCCTCGATGCCGACCAGCCGGCGGCGGTGGTCGGTGTTGTTAGCAGGAGTGGTGGACGACACAGCCGACATGGGGGCGGGTAGCAGAGGAGGGGAACGGCGCCTGTACAGGTCGATGCAGTCCTCCGCGTCGTAGGCAACTTCAAGCAGCTGCCTCATGCACACCTGCACAAAGCGGTCCACGGCCCCCTCCTCTGCCTCGGACTGCATGATGAGAAGGGCATTGATGGCGTCCAGCTCGTCCCGCAGCTCAACAACTTGGCCGCCGACGCCACGGATCTGCTGATACTCCTTGCTCAGCAGCTGCCCGGCGTTGCTCAGAAGAGACTGCGCCGCACCCTCCATGACCTCTCTCCTAGTATAACGTACTCGTAATGGAATGGAGTAAGAAGAGACGAGACAAGAGCTCAGCAGAATCGATGCAGCAGTTGGGGTGAGATTTTACGATGCTAGTCGCCTGGTCTTATTGTCACGTAACCAAGAAATTACTCACTCCGTTCCTGAACATGTGTCATTCCCGTTGGTTTCCCAACGAGTCAAACACTTTTACTTCACCTCTCCCCATGAGTCAAACACCTTTAACTCTGATGAAATATATAAAAAAATATTAAAATTTATAATACATAATTAGTTTATAGGATTATCTCGCACATCCCTCCCTACAGCCCCCCCCCGCGTCGCTCCCTCCCTAGGGGCACCTCAGGCGGCTCTGCTCCACCGTCACCGGCCGGCTTCTCTCTCACGCCTCCTCCACCCAACCGCCGCTGGACCTCAACGCCGGATATCCGGCGGAGGGCAAGGATGGCGGTGAATGGGTCTTTTCTTACTCCCCTCTCTTCTGTGGGTCTTCTGTGCGAGCGCGAGATCTTCGCGGGGGCATCATCGGCCGGCAGCGCATCCAGCGCCCGTGCGTGCGGATCAGGCCTTTCCCCGGCCAGATTTGTCGTCTCCACGCACCTAATGAGGGACTTGTGTAAGTGCATCTAGTCCTTTAGTGGGTTTTGGTAAATTGAATGACAACACAATTAAATGTCTAATAAGTTTGCTAAGTGTTGAACAGGAAATTGAGTCTATTGCATATACTTGTGGGTTGTGTATTAACAAGTATATACAAGGTTCAACTAGTAGGCAAACTTGATGATATGCCACATTGTGTTAAAGTGAATGTCAAACTGTGTATTGTTGTATTGGAAGTTTATGGAAGCAATCTAGTTGAAGCAAAAGACAACAATGCAAATGGAATCAATGAAATGGCTTCTTTGCTGTGGGATATTATAGCATCATGTGAAAGCAAACAAACTTGGTAAATGACAATGTATAGTGGATATAAGTCGGTCTCTACATTGGTTTGCTTACATGGATGAATATATAAAAGATCAATTGGAATGTCAAGCCAAAATGAGAAGGGAATAAGGAATCGTGAATTAGCTTGACCATATTGATGTTGATCCATGTATGTCTCTATGTGAGACAAACTGAAGCTTGATTGATCTCAACATTCATATCTAGAAAATATTCAAGCAAGAATCAAAATATTAAAAAAATATTTTTCAATGGATGCTTAATATAATGTGACTTAAGTATGGCTTAATAAGGTGAAGATAGCAAGTAAAGGGCTTTGAGGTACTAAGCGAAGGTGAAGGGCAAGCGACGGCTTGGCGACCGAGGTACCATGGCTAAGGTAAAGAAGAGAGTACTTGCATTGAGTCGAGGCACTAATCAAGCTATGAGGAGTCATATTGTGTTGAGGATCAAATCATTAGTGGAAGTGACTTGAAGCCATGAAGGTGAACTCATATGTATTGAAATGGTTCAAGTCACATAATCAAGGTATAATGAGAATGAGGAAAACATATTCGATAATAAAAGTCCTCAATTGCCAAATAAAGTGACAACCAGCTCAAAGGCATTTACATTCTTTTATGCTTTGAATTTGAGTTTAGGAAAAGCCGTACTATAAAGAGGGATTCTAGTATAGTTGGTCAACTGTGCAACCAGATGCTCAAAACTACAGATCTATATCCTCTTACCCAGCCAAAGCAGCCAGCCAAAAATCTCCAAATTCTACCTGTTTCGACTAGGGCGGCAGTGCCGCCCATAAACGACCGTTGGGACCCAAGAGGTATAAATACCATTTGGGCCGGCCCACAACGGAGATCCTTCTTCTCCAATGGTTCAGTTCGAAACTGAACATACCAAAGCTCACATCTCTCTCCTCCATTGTTGCTCCTTCAAGCTCCCGAGCAATCCTTGATTTCCACCTTCAAAACTTGAGAGAAAATACAGCAAAACTCGATTGGAGAGCAGATCCACTGATTCCCAAAGTCTAAGAGCATTCGGTTCACATTTGGTCGGCGGTTCTAGGGCTTGTTACTCTTGGAGCTTGCTCCTAGCCGGCTAGGCGTCGCCCTTGTGCTTGCCAACTCATGTGGCAGCCTTGGGAGGTTTGTAACCTCATCCTGCAACTAAGAAATTACCCCTCACTTCAAGAGTTCATTCTCTTGATTTGAGAACGAGGACAAGGCAAGCCTTGGTGGCGAGCCAATCCTTTTGTGGATGCCTCAACAACGTGGACTTAGGCAAGCCTTGGTGGCGAGCTGAACCACGGGATAAATTTTGTGTCTCGCGTGCTTCACTTTGTGTTCTTACTGGTTCAGCTCTTTACTAGCTGTTGTTAGGGTTTGGTAGCTCGATCCTCTCTTGTGTGAGATTTCTGTGGTATCCAGTCTTCGAACTGGATTTTGTCTTTCTGTTGTAGGATTGAGCAGCTGAGATTGTCAGGTTACTATCTGTGAAATCTCAACGCTGTCTGCTTTATTTTTGAAGAGCGACAGTGCCGTCCTCTGTTCTAACAGAGTTTCGAGCTAAATTTTTACAGGCCTATTCACCCCCCTCTTGGCCTCATTGGCGACATCAAGGTCCTTTCAATTGGTATCAGAGCCTGGCTCTCAATTTTGGGCTTAACCGCCTTGAGAGAACGATGTCAACAAGTGAGGAGGTATCTCTAGAACTTTTACTTTTAGATGGCTCAAATTATACATCTTGGTCTGCTAGTGTGCTTGATGTTTTTAGGACCATGGGTCCTCAAATAGAGCAGATTGTAGATGTGAGCATTTCACCTCCTCATGATGATTTGATCTACCTATCTAGAGAGGAAGTGAAATGCTTACAACTCAATGCTCAAGCTGCTAATGTCTTATTTAGTGCTTTGAGTGAAGATGTACTTGATGCTATCATATTTGGAGATGGTAAACCACTTGGTGATGCTCACATCATTTGGACCACGCTCAAGGAAATGTATGGCAACTCCAAATGTGAAGAGAGCAACCTCTCATTGGAAAAACCACTTGAGGAATGCTCAACTTCATCGACAAATGATGAGCCTCAAGTGATTCTCTCAAAAGGCCTATTTGATCATGCCACATTCACTTCCTCGCCAACATATGACTTATTGGATGGTAATGAAATAGTTGGTGAGAACAATATTTTTACATGTGGTACTCCTACCTTCTTTAGTTCTTGTGAGACTAACATTTTGAAGGAAGAAGAAGCTTGTGATCGGTGGAAGCCAAATGATGAATCCACCTTACCAAGAAGCTCAACTCTCTATACCACTTCACATATCGGTCTCATGACAAAGAAAGAGAAGAAAGTGGCAAGTGAGAGTGAGAGTGAGAGTGACAGTGGTAGTGATGATGATGAGATCAATCAACACCTTGCACGTCTAAGCAAGAAAGACAAGTTGATAGTGATCAAGTTCATAGAGAAGATTCAAGAGCAAGAAGAAGATCTCCACAAGCAAGAAGAACTTCTCGTTGAAAAGATCAAATGCTTGGAGAAGTTGACCAAAAAGCATGAAAAGCTTAAGTGCTCTCATGCTAGCTTGGTCCAAAGGTATGAAAACTTGTCAATTGAGCAAACTCTACTACTAACTCTCTATCTTGTGTTGCTCAATTAGAAGATCAGAATTATATGCTCAAAGACAAGTTGGAAAGGCTTACTAGCAAAAATGAGACTTTGCAAGAAAGTCATGATGAGCTTTTGTGCTCTCATGAGAAGCTTATGGAGTCTCATCTCATGCTAGAAGTTGCTCATGAGGTTGTGGTAACAACGGTAAAATCATACCAACCTCACACTCACAAATGCACATATACACAAGTTTCATCTATTTTATCATGTGCTAACAAGTGTTGCTCTCAAGCAAGCCAACCTTCCGTTGAGCATGTAATTGTAGAAACTTGTGATGATTCCATTGCAAAAGAAAATGAACAGCTCAAGGAAGACGTTGAAATGCTAAAAAGGGACTTGATTCAATGGAAGGGCAAGTGCAATGCTCAACCTTCTCAAGATAACCATGAAGACATGGTGAAGAAGCTTGAGAAGGGATCAATCGATGCATGCATCAAGCCTTATCAAAAGGGTTACAAGTCCAACAATGGCAAAGTAAAGAGGATACTTAAAGAAGTGCAATCTGTCCAGAATGCAGTAGTTCAGCCAGCTGCACTAACTATGGCAGTGCCGCACCCAAGGGTGGCAGTGCCACACCTGGACAGAACAGGAAAGTTCCCAAGGCCATCAGGGTGCAACGTCAATCAAAGAAGACTCTCATCACTTGCTTCAAGTGCAAGAAAGATGGTCACCATGTCAGAGATTGCCCCTTGAAGAAAGAAGAGAAGGGCGTGAGCAAGATCCAAGAGAAGAAGAAGATGGCTCATGTCAAGTTCTCCAACATGGGACACAATGCTTCTATGTGTTCCAACAAGGTCAATGATCAAGCCACACTTCCAAAGAACAAGACAAGAAGAAGCAAGAGGAAGTGTTATGGTTGTCATGAGAAGGGACATGAAATTGGTTCATGTCCTAATAAGAAAAGTGAAGGCTTGTCATCATCAACAAAGAGGTTCATTAGCAAGGTAGCAAGCAAAGTGCAAGAAGAGAAGGCTAGAAAGAACAAGAACCGCCTATGCTACACTTGCAAAGAAAGGGGACATTTAAGTAAGGATTGTCCCATGGATAACACTTCTAAGCTCAACTTGTCAATTGATTTAAATATGTTTAGGAGGCCCAAAAATGACACTTGTGCTAGAAAGGTGATTGGTTCACCATGTGCTAACACAAAGGCCATTTGGGTGCCTAAGTCTCTTGTGACTAACCATAATGGACCCAACATAGTTTGGGTACCAAATTGTGCTTAGTAAGTGTTGTAGGTACTTGAAGGTGATATGAAGCTTCGGGGTGCTTGAGCAAGTTGATTGAAAATATTTACTCAAGCTATCAATCAATTCACATTGCATATTCTTATATGGTTGACCCGAAGATGAATCAATGGAAATACTTCAAACTTC